TATTTTTTTATTTTATCTTTAAAGTATACATAATTTTATTAGAAACTTAAATTTATAATATATTTACTAATAATTGTATCCTTTGTTTTATTATTTTAAGACACTTGAACAACATCCTGATATATTTAGACGCGCTGATACTATAAAAACAATTATATATAATCGCCAATTTTGGACTGATGTTGAAATTTTAAGAAATATTCTTGTACCCGCAAAACAAGCTATAAAAGGAGTTGAATATAAAACTGCAACTTTGGGATCAGTATATGTTGAATTATTGAAAATGGCAAAAGCCATTAAGGAAATTCCAAATATTATATTAAACTCAGAGTTTAAAAGGAATTGTATTAATATTTACAATAAACGATGGTCACAATTTGATTCAAAGTTGTTTATCCTTGGATATTTTTTTCATCCGTATTATAGAGGTAAGATTATTTGTAATATTATACTTTTAATTATTATATATCTAATAGAAAATTAATTATTTTTTTATTTTTAATAAAGCATTAGGGTTTCAATATGGAGTTTTTCGAAATGTTTGCCAATTTGTTATTGAGTTGTGGATTAAAAGTATGGATGGTGGTGAAACCAGTAGCAAAGTTCTTATAGAACAAATAACTGCTTATCAAAATTGGGAATATCCATATGATGAATTGTTTAATTTACAAGATGGATCTGTTCTCAATTGGTGGAAAAATATTGAACAAAGAAACAATCATATTCAAAAAATTGCTCTTAAATTGACATCAATTGTACCTCATCAAGCGGCTGTTGAAAGAGTTTTTTCAGTTTTGAGTTGGTTAACTCAAAAAAGGCGAAATCGGTAAGAATAATTATTAATTTATTTTTATATATAATATTTTTTACATATTTAATAAATTATTCTTTTTTAGCTTAGATGTAAATCATCTCTCAGATATTTCTAAAATTCACTCATACTATATCACCAATGCAGCTACAGAATTAAATTATGTTAACCAGGATATTACAGATAAGGAAATTGAAGATATTATATCTCGAGCTACATATTGCATGTTTACAGAAACAGATATGTTTGATGATGAATATTTTCAAGATGAATCAGATTTTACTCAATCATATACAGAACCAATATTAGATTCATCTTTTAGTGAAATAAATTTGCGTCTTGAAGAATATTTTGATTTTAATGAAGATTTCAACCAAGAAGAATTTTTAAAGAATACTGAAGAGATTGAACAAATTGAGCATGGAAATAAAAATTTTGATATAGAATCTCTTCTTCAAGATATTGAATAAATAGTATTTAGCAAAATTTATAACAATTTTTTACAAATTTACATATTCATGATACATTTTTAATAAAGATAAAATTTGTGATTTGGGTGATATTTGTAATTTGAATAAAATTTGTGATATAAATAAAATTTGTAATTTTAGTAGTATTTGTAATTTGTGAGAAATTTGAAAAATTTGAGTTTGAGATTTGAGATATCTTCAAACTATTTTGAGTTTGTACCACAGCCTTCAACCAATTTGAGTGGCAACTATAAGTGAGGTATTGTTGGCTGACGTAGGTAACCAATCTAAAAGATAGTATAATAGAGGTAACCAGACTTATCACACTATATTACAGTTTAGAGATAACCAGGCCTATCATGCTACATTACAGTTTAGAGACAACTAGACCTATCACGTTATTTTACAATTTAGAGGTAACTAAGCTTATCACGTTATATTACAGTTTAGAGGTAATCAGCCCTATCACATTATATTACAGTTTAGAGACAACCAGGCCTATCACGTTATATTACAGTTTAGAGGCAACCAGGCCTATCACGTTACATTACAGTTTAAAGACAACTGGCCTATACCATTACATTTTAGTTTTTAGTAATTCGTTTCTTTTTTTTTCTTATTCTATTCTCTTATTTCCTTTTATTTTTTTTCTTTTATTTTTATTATTTTACTTGTGAATAAACCTATTATTTTACAATTACAAATCATTGGCAATCTGTTAAATTATTGCTTGACGTAATAGTATAAATACTTTTAATAATCAGTCTAGAATAAAACTTGTTAACTATTGAAAGATTACTGCTCAATTAAAAAGAATAAACCGCTTAAACACCCTGTCTAACAGTTGTAGTTTGCAAGAATTACACGTTAACAATGTGCATTTATAGAATATATATAAATCTAAATCTAAAATTAAGGTAATACAAAAAATTTATAAGTAAACTATATAAAATTTTTTATAAAGATTGCATTTACAGAGAGTATATATATAAAAAATGTACATTTAGCACTAATGCTTAAGTTAAAATCAGATAAAAATATGCATATATAAGGGTATATATTTATAGAGAATGCATTTATAAAAAGTTGACTGTATTTTGTATTTCTTATTATGTAATATATTTGTATTATTTAATATGTGATTTATTATTATGTATTATGATTTTAATTGATCTTTTTTCTTTGTCTCATAACTTGACTTTACTTAATATTATGTGATTTTTAGCTAATTATTTTTCTTTTATAACTTCTATTCAATTAGTTATTTTCTAATTTTCTAATATTATCATTTTTTTAATATTTACTACTTTGTTAAAAAAAATCATGTGATATATCATTTTGAGATTTCTTGATTTTATAATATGACCTTTTTTATCTTTTTTATTAAAAGGTAAAGTTGTAAAAGTAAATAATTGCACTCTTTAGAATATTAAATTAATTAATATATTTATATATTTGATATATTTAATATATTATATCATATTCTTTTGAAAATAAGCATACTGTGAAATATATATATTTTATTAGTATATATATGATAAATAATATAATAAAAATAATATAATAAATAAATAAATTACTATAAAGAAGCATATTACTAAATGCTTATTTTCAAAAAAATACAATATATAAAATTTTAATTAATTATAATAAAAATAATTATTAATTATTTTTTTTTATTATATTCATTCTTTTAATTATTTATTATTATATGTATCTTTTTAATTATTTATTGTTATATTTTTTTAGTTTAATTTGATAAACTATATATATTTTTTTATCTTAGTTAACTAATTATTTTTATTTTTTTATTTTTATTTTTTTTTAATTATTAATTTATTTTATTATTTTATTATCATTTAACTTAATAAATTAGTTTATTTTAACTTATATTTTATGTAAATTTTTATAAAAAAAAGTATCTAAATCTATTATAAATTACTTAAATACTTTATAATATAAATATAATTATTTATTTTATTATATAAACTTTAAAAGAGTTTTTTAACTTTCAAATATTTTGTTTACTTATTATAATTTATAAGAAATACATATTAATAATATCAAATTTTATATAAATTTTTTTAAGTTTAAAATTTAAAAATCATATTTAATATTTATATTAATAAATTATAAGTTTTTATAAATTATTATATATTTTATATATTATATTATATCATATTTTTTAAATTTTTTGGTTATTTTAATTTTTTATTAGTTAATTTATAATATTTTTATATAAAAAATAATTTGCTAGTTACTTATATTTTAAAAAAATATATTATTATTATTATATTTTATTTAAATATATAAATAAACTAATAATAAATTTATTATAATTTATTAGTTCGAATGAAGTAAAGGACTATATATGTTTACGCAAAGTATACTAATGTTAGCCTGCTTAAAAATTGAGTCAATGCTGATTGACTTTTGCAATAATTTTTTTTTAGTTAAGGTCATTTCAGACTTAACAATAGTTCTCCGTCAAGGTTAAAAATACAACTGTATAAATTAGAAAAACTGATAAATTTTAAAAGCAGTCAAAAATTTTGAGGTTAATCAATTTTTTTGCTGATAATAATTTTAAGTAAATTTATTTGTAAATTGTAATATACAGATAATCTAAATAAATATTTCGAACATGAATTTTTTTATTTTTTACCTTGAAATGTAAAAATGTCTAATATTCTTCATTACTATAAAACAATTAGTGTCAATACTAATAAAAATAATGATAATAAAGATAAATTAACTGAAGATAAATCTTTATCTGAAAGTGAAGAAAATTTATCTTCTACAGAAGAAGTAAATGAAGTTCTACCTTCTCAGAAAAAAAAAATCTTTGTATATTAAAAAAAAAAACAAAAGTAAAAATTAATAAAAAAGGGATTTCAAAAAAAATGGCTCAAAGAATTTTTATGGTTAAAATATAATTCTGAAGAAAAAAAAATGTATTGTAAATTATGTAGATTTCATAATATTAATATTTATTTTGCTAAAGAAGGTTGGTTATTTATTATTATTAATAAATTAATTTTTAATGATTTTAAAATAATTTAATAATTTATAATTTGATTAATTTGAATTTAGGTTCAAAAAATGTTAGCAAAAAATCAGCAATTCAAGATCATGTTAATAATAGTGATCATAAAGAAGTTTTAAAAAAGAAAAGGCTAGACTTTCAATAGTTAAAGTTACTTCAAATACAGTAAATTACGTAAATAAGCATAATGAAAATCATTTATTTTATGGTGAAAAATAATCTTCCACTTTATCAATTTTCTCAATTAGTATAACTTAGGTGTATACTTGAAAGTCTTAACTTAATTTCTAACTCAAATTCTATAACATATAAAAATCTTACATCTCAAAAGATTTATTATCAGTAATATCTTTATCAATTGAAAAAGAACTGTGAAATAAACTTTATGAAACTACAAGCATTGGTATTATGATAGATGAAAGTACAAATATTAGTACAAAATCACATATAATTCTTTATATTAAATATTGTTTAAGAGGTTTTATTAAAGTCAGATATGTAAAACTATTACATTTAAATGGTAAAGATGCTGAAACTATTTTTCTAGCTATATTTACTTTATTTGAATTGAAAGGTAAGAATTTACCATTAATTTATTAAAATTTTAATTTTATTAATTAAATTAATTTAATTTATTACTTTATTAATTTAGGATTAGAAAAAAAAATTATGTCTTTTTCATCAGATGAAGCTAGTGTAATGCTTGGTAAAAATAATGATGTGGCAACTAAACTTACAAATAAAAATCCTTATTTATTTGTAAGTCATTGCATTACACATAGATTAGCGTTAGCTTGTAATTCAGCTCAAAAGAAAATGGTTTTTTGTAAATATATAGAAACCTTAATTAAAGAAACATATAATTTCTTTAGTAATGCTAAAAAAAGAGTTGATACTTTAAGGCAATTTCAGTCAGTATTGGATTACCTAATTTTAAAAATAAAAAATATCTTTGAAATTAGATGGTTATCTTGGTATGAAGCAGTTAAAAGTATATGCATATCTATCAAACCATTACTGGATACATTTCTTGAAATAGCAACAACAACTTCTTTTCAAAGACAACAATCAATATTTGATTTATATTCTAAAATCTGTAATTGGAAAGTTTTGGTTTTTTTACACTTTTTATATGATATTTTAGGTTATTTAATGGAACTTAGTAAGATGTTTCAACGAAGATATATTATGTTTTCTGATATTGATCCTATAATTAATTCTACGATTCAAAAAATACAACATGAATATTTAGATATTGATGATTATGGAAATCCAAAGTTAAGTGCACATCTAAATGATTTTTTATTAAAAATACCATCAGCAGAAGATTCTATTGGAGATCACCATATTTTATTTAAATCTGAGGACAAAATTAATTTACAACTAGAAATTATGGAATTTGCAGCAGCTGTCATTTGTAAAATTAATGACAGATTTCCACATAGATTAATTTTATCTGCCATGAAAATAATAAATCCAATGGAATGGTCAAAGGATAAAGAAAGTTTAGTTGATTATGGTAAAGAAGAATTAGAAAAGTTAATTAATATTTATGGAATAGCTAAAGAGCCTAATTACCCAATGCCAATTATTGATGCTGATTCTATTTGTGATGAATGGAATAATTTTAAAGCTATAGTCCTAGCAAATTATGAAAAACTTTCTACTGATGATTTCCTGCCACTATTATTTCAATATCATTCTGATATGTATCCTAATAATCTTGTTTTAATTAGTATATTTTATTCTATACCATTTCTAGTGTAGATTGTGAAAGGGGGTTTTCTAAACAAAATTTAATTAAGACTGATATTCGTAATCAGCTTAATAATGATACGTTATATATGTTAATGACAATTGGGTTGCATGATGTAAATTTAATAGATTTTAAATTTTGATAGCGCATTACAAATTTGGTATCAAAGTTGTAAAAGAAGAATTAAATAACGATAATGTTTGGTTAAATACAAAATCATTTTTTTTTTAATAACCGAAAAATTTTTATATGATCGGAAATTTTTTCCGATAATTTTTCAAAAAAAACTGATAAATTGAAAACTCATCGGCAAAATTTCCGATAAATCTAAAACCCTATTTTTAACCCTGTTCCCCGTTCCCTAGTATAATTAATAATTTAATAATAAAAATTTATATTTTTAAATAATATATTTAGCAAATTCGTTAAATTTAAAATTGATATTTATTAAAACTAATTTTATTAATAATATTTTTATAATAAATTTATAATATAAAAATAAAAAATTGATAATTAATTTACGATTTTAATAAGATATAGAATTAAAGATATATGAAGTTTGGGAATTTTTTTTTGACTAAAATTAAGATCTTATTATATTTTAATCTAATAACTTCCATATAAGTTATTTATATAATTTAAAATTTAAATAATTTTTTGTCAAAAAATAATGTATTAGCTATTCAAGGGACTTTTATTAGTAGAGTAAACTGACTAATATTGTTAAATTATTATATATAATTCCAAACTTCATTTTTTATTTTTTATTATTCTAATATATCAAAATTTATACATTAAATACAGCACATGCTGCTACATGTGTTAAAGTGGCGTAACGTGTAATGTTTTCTCTTAATTTCGAACGAGTGACAAATTATTATATATTATCACGTGTCGTGTCTCCGATATTGGAAAGACATTAACCTAATAAGTTGAAATCTGATATTGATTAGGACTAGAGTTATATTTATCATAACATAATCGGAATTTAACAATCCACATTCAAAACTGATTTGTAAAAAAAATGGGTTTAATAATTACTGTCACGAAAAAAAAGGGAGCACAAATGTACATGAATCATGAATTATTCAATTGTAAAGTATTAATTCAGTGTTTTCTTTGAAGAAAAAAAAAAATGAGAAATTTTTTGAGGGAAAAGATTGCCCTCGATAAGAAGGTTCCAATAATCGCCTAGATGAACAACTTACTGCGCGAACGAAAAAACATTAACATGTGAAGCCATGCTTAATTAGATTCTAGATTTTAGGAAATAATTCTCACCAAGCAAATTCAATTACAAGTATTCGTATTAGTTAAACCCGTTGAGCTCATCAAAGTCTTGGCGGAGGTGGTGTTATTTGAATAACGATACTTTGATTCAAGTTTTTTGAAGGTGTTATAAGCAGACCCAATAGCCAGATATGAGAGATCAACTAATAATATAAGCAAAGCGGGTGCTATGACTATAAAAGCACAAAAATAAGCCATATATGCAATTAATTCCAACATCGTGTATATTTTTTTTGGTATAAGATTTGGTATAAGAAAGTTTTTTGTGACTCAAAGAAGAATAAAAAGAAAATTAAATCGAAAAAAAAAAAAATATTTATTTTTTGATTGTGAAGCGAAAGAAGTATGAAATAATATCGATATCAACCAATTTCGCTTGGTATTTATAACACTTTTTTTTTTTTTTTTTATACAATATAAACCTATTTACAAAAATGGAATCGTGAGAAGATTTTCAACTTTTTTTATTTAAAAGCTTGCGGATGTTTTCGGAAAATTCAAAATGTGGCGACCTTCGAGTGCAACCTTCCAAAAAAGAAATATTCTAGTACATTTTAAACAACATATGAAAGGGCTTGTTCGCTCCTTTGTGTTTGGGAATATTTGTGGGAAAAGACATGAATGAAAGAAATCAGTCACTGCTTAAATTTTCACATAAAATGCACAGCAAAAATCAATATTGTATATTTAAAAGGAATTAATCATAAAGATGAAAATTTATACTCACTCAGCCCAATTTTTTATTTGCGTCATATATAAATAATAATTGTGTATGAGAAATAATAAAAGGTGATTACTTTCCTATTGGTTATCAATCAAATATGCTCAAATGAGTACCTTCGCAGTTATATCTAATTAACCAATACATTGTCAAGCTTTTTTTTTTTTAAAAAAAATTGCTTCCTTTCTTAATTGTAAAATGCGATTAACTTATAATTTTCAGCATGGAGTTTCCGTACGACAATCGCATAGTTCGTTGCATAAAAATACGTTCTATTATAGGTCTTTTTATTTTAGCACTATAAAAATGTTATTTTGGTTTACATTTATGTTGTCAGTAGTGGTAAAAAGTGTTAGTGGAATGAGCGAACGGAAAATAAATGATTTAAAGTGAGTTATTAGAATTGACTTTGTCCTGATTGCTTCTTACTTCAAGAGAAAGTTAACTAATAATTTATTTATATTTAATAGATTACAGGCAAAGGTATAACTAATAATATTGCATTTTAATATCATATCCGAATTTGCTTGAAATTCAAAACTTTATTTAGAATTAGAAAGATCATTTAATAAGTAATAGAGCTTTGAAAGAGAAAATTTCATTTTTCATATAATTATTAATGAAAATTCTCTAATTTTTAAACCCTGATTTTTTTTATATAGGATATGTTTTATCATGCGTTTGATAATTATATGAACCATGCGTTCCCCGATGACGAGGTAAATTAGAAAAGTTGATTTGCCTTTGCTTTGAATCTATTTCTTATTTTTTTTTTTTTAATTTTAATTTTTTTTTTGGAAATTTTTAGCTAAATCCTTTACGTTGTATTGGTTTAGGAAGTGATAAGAATGATCCGCAAGTATATTTTTTTTTCGGTAATATTTTAATATTTTATTTTCAATTGCGTTCTTATATTAATTCGAATTTCATTAAATAAATTCTAGACATAATACTATAATAAATGACGTGCTTGGAGATTACTCATTAACGCTGGTGGATTCGTTAGATGCATTTGTTGTAACGTATCATTTTTTATTTATATTTCAAATCATACATGGATTTATATCTATATATTAAAATATGATAACTTATATAGGTATTCAATGATAAGGAAGGATTCGAAAAGGCAGTTCGTGACGTAATAAAATATGTATCATTTGATGTAAATAGTAAAGTACAAGTATTTGAAGTAAATATTCGCGCATTAGGAGCATTGGTATGTAGCAAAATGTTAAACTTATTTATTTTTTATTAAATTTTATATTAATTTTTGATTCATTTTATATTATTTAAAAAAAAGTTGTCAGCGCATTTATTCGCTACAGATCCAAGATTTGGTTTTATCATAGAGGGATACGCTAATGAGTTATTGAAACTGGCTCATGATTTAGGTAAACGATTATTACCTGCTTTCCATAATTCGAAGACAGGAATTCCTTATGCTAGGGTTAGTAAAGTTGAGACATTATGTTTATGGAATCTGATAATAAGCTTTTATGATATCAATTGTTATATATGAAATCTAGGTTAATTTAAAATATGGGGTATCTAAATATGAAACACATGAAACTTGTACCGCTGCAGCTGGAACACTAATAATTGAATTTGGTGTACTAAGTAGATTAACGAACGATACTCGATTTGAGGTATAAATTTGTTATTTCACGTGTCATTACTTATGCTATGTCAACTAAACACCCTTTATTTATTCTTCTAGGACGTAGCAAAGCAAGCACTTTTTGGTCTATGGAATCGACGAACAGATTTAAACCTTCTTGGGAATGTAATAAATTTGCAAACAGGACAATGGATATATAAAGCGGCTAGCACAGGATCAGGAATAGATTCATTTTATGAATACTTGTTGAAAGCTTACGTGTTATTTGGGGAAACGGAATATTTGGACATGTTTAACGAGGCTTATCATGCTGTTCTCCGATATATTAGAGATGAAACTGGATATTTTTATAGAAATGTTAATATGATGAATGGAGGATTAGTTTCAAGCTGGATTGATAGTTTATCGGCCTATTTTCCAGGTTTGCAGGTGAAACAATTAAGTGGTTTAAAAAAAACAAAAAAATTTTTTTTTGATATTATTTATACAAGAATGTTTCGGTTGTGAATTTTTTTTTTTTTTGGTAGGTTCTGGCTGGTGATCTGGATAATGCTATAAAGTCCCATTTATTATATTATAATATTTGGAGAAAATATCAAGCTATGCCAGAAAGATTTGATTTTCATTTGAGAAATGTGGAGTTGGGAACTTATCCGTTACGTCCCGAGTTCATCGAATCTACTTATTTTCTTTATCGGGTATGTGTAAATGTCAAAATGTATTAACAAGTAAATATGTAGATGTAATCTATTTCTCTTTAGGCAACGAAAGATCCATTTTATTTACAAGTTGGAGAAATGATAATTAAAGATCTAGAATCTTATGCACGTGTTGGTTGCGGATATGCAAGCGTTAAAGATGTGTTAACAAAGGAACTTGAAGGGCGTATGGAGAGTTTTGCTTTAAGTGAAACTTTTAAGTATTTATATCTGTTGTTTGATACTGGTAATGATTTGGCATCACTAATTTTTAAATTGATTATTAATTGATATTTAAAATCCTAACGTTTATTATTTTTCACTTTAAAAAAAAAAAAAAAGAAAATTGGATTAATAGTTTGGATGATAATTTTATTTTTACCACTGGTGGACAAATTTTCTTTTTTCAAGTTGTGTATTTCAATTTAACTCTTATATATTAATAATCAAGTTGTTACCTTTTAATTTTATTATATTATAATAGAGGCACATATTATACCATTACCACAACAATATCTTAAAAATCATTCTGAAATACTACCTAGTAAAGGTAGAATCGAGTATTCAATTTGTCCCGCATATGAAAAACCTTCTCCATCAAAACATTTATTTGCAAACTCGATAATAGCATCAAGACCGGATACAGATTTTATAAGAGAGTTGGTTGGATTTGAGGAACTTATTTTACCACCTTTGGATCCTAAGGGTATATGTGAAGTACCAAAATTAGATCTACAAGTTATGGAAGTTCAGTTTGGGGGTTCACAAGAATCATCTGAAGATGATTTGAACGATCAGGGACAAGAACAGAAGATTGAAAAGTACGTTAATGGGTTAATTGCAAATCGGTTAAAAGGATTGAAATTGGAGTTGACAAAACGCGTTGATAGGAAGGGTTATGATGTTACAAAAGGTATATATATATATATCTATTTGATCTTGTAAAATTTTATGATTATTAATTGTTTTATTGATAAATTATGTATCTCTTTCGTAGTGGATAATTACAGGTAATACAATTATTATCGTAAATAAATTATTATATATTTTAAAATATTTAATTTAATTATTCTCACTTTTTATTTAGAATCTACCCCGGACAAATTTTTGAGATAAGAGATCCGGCAGTAAAAAAATTCTGGATAAAACAACAAACATATAGTACATCAACTCTTCGAGTTTACATTTCAACTTTAAGTAATGAGGTTTCTAGTTTTGATTATCTTACAGCCGTAGCATCATTTGGTCCTAAAATAACTAGTGAACTTCCCGTAAGAACGCTTGTACAAATAACGTCACCTTATGGATGTGGAGATTATAATACTGAAGAAGCAACCCTTATTGATGGTAATATAGTATTTGTAAAAAGAGGAGTTTGTACGTTCGTAGAAAAAGTGTTAAGAGCTCAAGAAGCTGGAGCTAAAGGTATTGTCATATGGAGTGACGATAATTATTTATTTCAACCTGTTAGTCCAGAAGAACATAAAGATATTTGGATATTTGAAATACCTTGTGTACTAATCACTTATGAAAATGGTGTTAAATTAGAAAAATTATTGAAAGAAGCAGAAGAACTGTTACAACACATGGAAGAAAATGATAAAAATACGCAACAAAAGAAGTTCGGAAGTAATATTAAAGTTAAATTCTTGCCTCATGAACAAGAACCTGTTACAAACATCAAAACTAATGAAAATAATGAATCACTATTAACTATTCATGGACATACTATACGCAACATTAGATTAAATCTTAATAGACAATAAAAAGACTAACACAAAAAAACTTTATATGTGATAAAATTATATTTGCGTATATATTTTATATTTATAAAAAAAAATATTTAATTTGATTTTGACATTATTATTATTATTATTAAAAAAAAAAAAAAAAAAAAAAAAAAAAAATAGAATGTATATATGTTTGTTATTTAAACAAATAAATTATTTCAAATATTGATTTAATAAAAAAGATTTAATTTTTTTTCTTTTTTTTTTTTTAAAAAAAAAAAATACTTTGATACTAAATATATAGTATATACATATATATATTTCTCAAAATAAACAAAAATAAATAAATAAATATGTATGTATAATAAGAAAAATGTCCATTGTCAAATTTCAAAATACGAAACAAGTGCTTTGCGACTTTCGCAGAAAACCAAATCAAACCAAACCAAACCCAACCCAACCCAAGTCACCACTAAAGTATTCTAAGAATGATATAAATATATATATGTATATATATATATTTATATTTATATTTATATATTTTTTTTTTTCGTTCCTTGTCTTTTTTCTTAACTAAGTACTATAAGTCTCAATAAATTTGAGAAAATAAATATATGCATAATGAAAATAAAAATCTCTGATATTTACCATTGCTACTTTCATTTTCTATTATTATATAGAAAACAATAAACCTTCTATTTATCGAAAAATCATAGTCTACGCCAACCAATAAAAAGAAAATATTCTGTCCCTCTAAATTTCCGATCTATCTCAACGAACCAGCATCAAATGATCTTGGTCCAGTGAATCCAATTAAACCAAGGTATTGAAGATCAATATTGTCTGCATCACCTTCTGCTCGAAGTAACTTCACTGATATGAATTTACCTGATCTTTTTTGTGTTAGAAGTATGTTATTAACTTGTTAATAATATAATATAATGTTAAACCATAGCTTTAATGCTTACCGATTCGGGTGCAAGACTTGAGTTGTCATATTTGTAATAGAGTCTAATCGGAAATACGCTGCAGGCCAAGAATCATCTATACTGCCATTTTCATTGCTTTCCAATAATGCTTGGTAATCCGCTTCAGTAAAGTCATCATATTTTGAGGTGGCTATTTAAAAAGGAAGGAATTAACTTGAATAGAATTGATATAAATAGTATGACAAAATTCAATAAATTTAATTTACCTTCAAGAGATATAGGTTCATGAGAGACAAAAATTAACCCCTCTTTGCCTATTCACAAAAATAAATTAATAAATATATAAAATGACAATAATATTAATTATTACGTGGAGTCATAAAAAATTAAGACATACATGGAGCGGTAAAACCATGTGTAGGAGCTTTTATGATGATTTTTGAAAGTACGAATGCTGAATCCATAGCTTCTAGGATAGGATCACAAAATTTGAGCAAGATATTAACATTGCTACTCTTCTTTGAACTAATGAAAGTTATTTAAATAAATATTAGCAGTTTATTATAAAACAAATTAAATAACATGATAACCCACCAGTAGACATTATTATCATTTTTTAATATGTTTTCAACATCATACGTTGAACTGTAATAAAAAGTTTAAATTTAATAAATAAATGTTCAAGGTGCGAGATATTTATTGGTGTTGCTAATATATCTACTATAAAGCATAGTTGTAACAAATTCAATATTGATTAGCCAACCGTTTTCTTAACTATAACTCGCATTTGTCTACATTCAATGCTTATTTATAAAACTGTCCTTTATATGCTCTTTTCCCCTTTATTCTAACGATCGCTTGTTTCAAACTGTAATTCTATTATTGTAAACATTTGATCACCTAGTAACATACCTGAAATTACCACCGTCACAATGCACGATGTCAAACCCTAATGCAAACTCTCCAGTAGTGCCATGCGTGCTTCTCCATTTCCTTTTCATCGCTCTATGATCCCTTACTGAACTTCTTCTATGTAAAGACAAAGACCCAGCCCTACTATTTGGTCTGCTCGTGGTAGCTGCATGCTGCAGTATCCGTGCATTTAATAACTCGTCCAGCCCGTCACTCCTACTGGACGAGTTGTTACTCAGTGATTGAATCAAGGTTGCAAATGTATTCGAACGAGATAATTGTTGTAATAAGGCAGACGAGAAAGGTGAGGGTGAAGGTGAACGTGTTGTAGAGTTAGTTGAGTTAGTTGAGTTAGTTGAACTAGAGGAGACTCGCATACTTTTTTTTTTTTTTTAAAAAAAAAAAAAAAAAAAAAAAATGGGGTTTATCTAAATAAATTATGTGTTGGTTAGATTGAAAATTTTCCTTTCGTTTTAGCTTTATTAGTGCATATTTGAGCCGCGTTATGAAAACAAATCCCCCAAAACTTATCTTACCAATATGGAAATTCTAACATCAGGGTTCGGAAATCACGTGCTAAGAAACCGTGGGATTTTACTTTATCATGTCATTTTGTTGGAACGTACGTATTATTGTGAAAAAAAAAAATGCTTGACCCTAAAAACGAAATAAAAAAACTTCCACTTTCTGAAAACCTTTTACATTACTACCAAGAAAGATGTGGTATTGCCTACTCTCTTTATTCAATTAGTTAAAATGCTTAAATAAATGAGTTAAATTTTAATACCTTTTAGAGACGGCTGAACGAGAATATCAGGACGCGATTGACGCGATTGATAAGTGTAAAACAACTCATGAAGAACAACATAAGTTGACTTGGGATCTTCAACAACGTTTACAAGAAATCGTAGATTTACAAAAAGATCTTAGTGACACGCAATTGTTCTTAACAGAAGAACGAAAGCGTTTCATAAGAGTGGTTGCCGAGAATGACGAACTAAGAGGTGCGAGTTGTGAAAGTCAGACGCGTTTATGAATTCTGTGATTACAGAGTTTGTGCTATGAAATTTTCCGATAAAAGCGTGTAACAATTTACATTCTTATTGATTTATTGAACAGTCCAAGACTTGCAGGATCGTAGGAAAATTCAATATCTATTATCAATTACCGGACCGTTAAAGCGGGATGAAGATTCAGTAATTATTACAATATCATTATTTTCTGTTATATTGATATGGTCATGTCGAATTCTTATTTAATTTTTATAGAATTCTGGAGTTAAAGATCCGCGAGATAATGAGATAGAATCTTTAAAATTGATGGTGATGTCTTTACAGTCCCAACTTGAAGAGCAGGTTTATTTCAGATTACGATGATTATACTATAATTTAATGGCAATGTTTTTTTTTTTTTTACTAAAGTTAATTTTTTGTTTTGTTTCCCAAGAGACATGGGTATGATGAAATTATAGA